CTTTATCATATATGAGTTCGATTTCTTCTAACCATGAATGAATAGATTGTGGTTCTTTACCTGAGAATTTTGGTAATGTTTTTAAATCTTCTAGTACCAAAGCATGATGTGCTTTAACGGCCAAAGTGTCCGATAGATAAGTTGTATCTCGTTGTGGTTTTATATTAAAGTTAGTTGATGTACCAAGAAGAGAATCGCTGTGATCGGATGTAGTTGTTGATAGATATTGGTTTATCATTAGCTGTTGAAAACTTTTCCAAGTGATCATTCGATCATCATTAATATAAGCGAATTGAGCAGCAAGATCGAGCAAATAATATTTGGCTTTGTTCGCCCACATAGTCTCATCATATTTCAAATCAATAAAAACACTTCTGATAGCTGTTAACCAAGAATATATGTTTGTCGTTCCATTATAATATGAAATGCGAGCTAGTTCTTTATCTTCGTTGATATTCGATGTGTTGTTTATTGATGCTTGATTAATAATTTCTGGTAATACAGTCATTGTGGCTTCGGTTGCATCGGTGGAAATGAATGATGAGGAAGTGATCTTGGTTGTTGATGATTCCGGTTTGAGTGGTGAACATGTTGTGTTAGTAATATAAAAATCAGCTTTATTAGTGTTTATGTTCGACATACTTGATTGAATTTCTTGTTCTTCTTCTTTCTGATCAGTTGTTGATTGAGAATTACTTCGCTTAGACAAGTACAAACCGATTCTCGTACGTACCATAAAATTAATCCTAATAGTGAATCAGGTGATGAGCTCAGGTCCTGTATATCGTGTCAATAATGTAGTTCTAAATCTTCTTGAAATTCAAGAAGCCGGCTTAGTGCACAAATTGTTAGCTATAGAACTTTAGTTTAACGTTATTTTCTTGTTCATCAAAAAACAACTTTACATCAACCTATAAGAACGAGCATAACCAGGGAAGAGAGATAGAGAGAGCTAAAAGAAGAGAAGAGGAAAAGAAAAACAAGTGCATATATGTATATGTATATATATATATATGTACTTTTGAGGTCAAGTCATATATAACAACAAAGGCAGTAGAACGCTACCTCGATAACACTGAGTTCAATCAGTAGTTTCCCCCTTGCTAAAATATGTATTCTGAGTGTCTACAAGAAAAAGCTCTTTTTTAAGAAAAAAAACTCACGGATAAAAAACTCACTGAGAAATAGAGCAAATTAAAGGATATAAATACGTAGAAAAAAACGCGATTGAACGATGTTTTAAAGTCGTATTTTAAGTTGAAAAAACCCGTTGTAAATAAAAAAGAATGCATTTCAACGTGTTACATACAGAAAACCATGCGTTTAAATGCGTGAGAGAGAGAAAACGATGCGCTAAAACGCTAAAACAGCGTTTTCTTCTAAAAGTTTGCGTTAAACGCTGTTTCATACGATTTATTTTTTCGTGGGCAGTTATAACGAGATTAGATACGTGCTTTTATTTCTTATTTAAAAAATTGGATAGGCTTAGAAGAATACCCACTAGTGCATGCTACTGAGCATGTTGAAGTTATCCGTTTTGAACTAGATTAATTTGATCTCATTAATTCAAAAACTAAGCGAATGACATTCTTCTACTCAGCTTCTGATGTTGAATCAAAGTGAAATATTTTTATAGGATTTAAACAAAAATGGTGAGTTCAAAATCGCGCATGGTACAGATTCATTCATTCATTCGAGTTTTTTAATAAATTTCTTCAAATAAAGATTGATGAAATAGACGTAAAAACTCTTAATTCGTGATCAGTTTATCAAGTTCTATATAAAATAATGTATAAAAAGATCTACTCAAATTTGACGTTTCCTACACGTTACACATAAAACTTAGAAAACTAATAAGGCTTCCATAGACATCGAGTAAAAAATCGTCTTTTCCGATAGGTTATATTCGAAGAAACTGGTGAGATCAAGTTCAAATATTTCTCCAAACACTAATCAGTAAAGTTAGATTTTGCATAATTTATTGATGATTGCCTGAACTGATTGTTAAATCTTGTGCACTAATTGACTAGTCATCACATACAAATGTTATTAATTAACCGTATACTTTGTGCGTCTCTAGCGTGGTATTCACTTTATTATCTCCATGTATGAGCGAAGTACATACCATAAATAGTAAGTAATACGAATGATTCCATGACAATTTAGAATGCTCAATAATTATTTCCTTCAGTTTCATTAGCATCCTTTGATATCAATGCAAATTTATGAAAAATGTAGGAGTGCTAGAGTATATTTTCATTGAATAGAATTGTTTGATATGTATGTCGTCGGATTTGACGAATATTGATTCATAATTATACTATGCATCATTTAAATATTGTTGTTTCAGATTGATATTACCAATTCAGATTTGACTCTTATGACATGCTACCAATCAGAAGTTAGATAAACAAGAGTTTAGTGCATTTCTTCAGAAAATCCTGATTAGCCACTATTAAAGAAGGTTCCCCTATTAGGAATCATTCTATGCTAACAAGAGATTATCACAAGAATACTCTATATACGATTAAATAAAAAAGAAAATTATCAATATTTTCATAGGCAACTTTTCTTGGATTATTGCCATTAATAGGTTATTACATAATGTCGAATGATAATGCAACATCATTAATACAAATTGCAGAATCAAGAGGATCTTTAGTCGCTGCTTACTATGCATTAATTTTGGTCATCATTGGCACTTTATTCAATATTATTACATTTATTGTGCTTTGTCGATCAACATTTAAAAATGTTGCAGCAAGACCTATACTTCATTATATGAGAGCAATGGCTATTTTTGATATTCTTATGTTATACGGATGGAATCTAGATCATTACGTTTCTGTCATACATGGATTTCAAATTCAAACATTAAATATACCCTTCTGCAAATTTTTGTCTTTTCTTAATTATTTTGCTTCTCAATCATCAGCTTGGCTTCGTGTCTTTGTTTCATTTGATCGATATTTATCATTAAGCCGTCTTCATCGAACATGGTTTAGTCAACCGAAAAATGTTCTTATTATAATTACAAGCATAATGATTGTCCTGTTTTTACTTAACTTTCAGTTTTTTCTTTTTGAATGTTATTATACAGCACATGGTTCAATTACTTCATATTCTTTGGTATTTCAAATATATCCACTATGGGATTATATCAATTTAGGTGTGTACAATTGTGCACCATTTATATTGATGGTGATATTCAATAGTGGAGTGATTTGTCATTTATTTTATCTTCGTCGCACAACTACTCTCCAAAATTCACGCATTCAACAGCGACCTATTTCAATTACGTTAGTCATTACAACATTCATGTTTCTATTTATGACAATACCATCTACAGTAGGTTTCGCATTCTTTTCTAGAACAAATGCTAAGGTTTTGTATATTTTTGATGCACTTCTTTATACTTATCATATATTATCATTTCCATTATATGTGATTACATTTGATGAATTCCGACAAAACTTCGTTTCAATGATTACATATAGAAGAAATAATAGAAGAATTATACCAGTAATACAAGCTGGCATTACACCAAAGATAAATAATTTTGCAAAACCGATCATCAATACTTGAAAACATTGTTTCATTCTGAATGTCTTTTAACATAGAATTGAATATTTTCTGTATTGTACAACTATATTTCTACATAGTTCACTGTTTAATCTTCTCATATATTGTGGCTTTTTGTGTTTCAATATTGTACACTGTCATATAAATTTGTTATAATGTTCGTAACTGAAAAATTATTAAGGCATCAAGCTATGTATTGTTTTTACTGTTCAATAAAATTGAAAAAAAAACGAAAGCAAATAACGACTAGTTATGATTCACGAAAATATGACAATTACCGCTTCACTGTTTTATGTCCCTCTTGAATCGAAAAATATTGCCAACAAAACGAAAACTAACATTTGGTGGGTTTTAGCAAATGACATTTTATCAATTATGATAGGTTTTATTCAGGGTGTGGGTGTGGGTATGGGTGTCCATCTCATCCTTCTACAGATCCACACCCCCACACCCCAACACCCATATCTTTTTCTTTCTTTCTTTAGATTAATCGCCACAACAACTGCAATGGTAAATATTACTTTAATATATATTTTTTTTCTTTTTAGATTAGTGGTCACAACAACTGATCTAAAAAGTAAGTATTATTTTAATATATATATATATTATCTTTTTTTTTCTTTAGATTGATCACAACGACAATAACTATGGTAAATATCATTTTGATATATATTTTTTTCTTTTTGGATTAGTCGTCACAATAACTGCAATAGTAAGTATAATTTTAATATATATATATACTATCTGTTTTTGTTTAGATTAATTGCAAGAACAACGGCACTGGTAAGTATAATTTTAAAAATATAAATGAAATTTTCATTTATGAAGGCTGAAGAAAAGAA